AATAACCCCTCGTTGCCATGTCTGAAGTCCCCAAAAGTCGAGTCTGGATCCGATATCACCAACCCCGGTATCTCTTCTCTCGCAGTCTGCAAATGCAGTGAAGTCAGGGGTTGAGAGGGAGAGGAGGAGATGGTGGACTGAGAAGAAGAGGAAGAAGAACCCTCTCTCTCTCACTGTTACGAACCAGGTACTAACCTGTGATGTGTCGCTGTGCTGCAGGTACCTCGAAGACGAAGCTGGAGCAACGGCGCTGCAGGTAGGTACTYCTGGCCTCCGCCCAAGCTCTCTCTCTCTCTCTCTACCACTATCCTAGCTATGGCGCCCAGCGCTGGAGACTACAGCTACCTACTGCGCCCAGCGCTGAAGACTACAAGATAACGCTACTACTACTATAATGCAGCGCTCCCTCCAGAGTGATGCTCCCGAATCCTGAAGACTACAACTGCCCAACTGCTCTTTTTCGTGCAGGGCGGGCCAGTCCTTTATAGTGCTGGCCCGTGCCGGAGGCTGGCCGTGCCAATGCCCTATGCGTAGGAGGCCGCTCTTGCCAATGCCTCCCTGGCCTAGACCCTGCGGAAGCTTCCAGGCAAGAGCCTGGAAGTTTCCCTGTAGGGAAACAGGCTGGGGCCTGTAGGCCCTGTCAGAAGGAAGCTTCCAGGCAAGAGCCTGGAAGTTTCCCTGTAGGGAAACAGGCTGGGGCCTGTGGGCCCTGTCAGAAGGAAGCTTCCAGGCAAGAGCCTAGAAGTTTCCCTGTAGGGAAACAGGTTGGGGCCTGTACAGCATGTAACACTGGGTCCCCATAGCAGCAAAATTCAAAGCGGTATAGTCGCTCAGACTTTCAGATTAAGGGCCTTTTGGTGTATTTGGCTCGCCAGAAGAGACAGGCTTTTTCTCAGATCTAATCCTTCAGTGACTTCACTATTTTCACAGTTCAAACATTCAATTAGAATAGACATTATGGCAGAATGGATCAAATTCAAACGACAAGCTACCTCAACCGAGCTGGCTAGAGCACAGTTTCAGAAGAAATGGTCCACCCCATTTCGGTGGGCCGGTTTTACTGATAGAGGTTCACTTTTTTACTCAGAACTTCTGTGGGAATAGCCCGCCAGGCCTAGTTTACTAGCTTCTTATCAGGCAGTATTACACTGAGAGGGCCAGGTATCCCCACTCTTTTTCCTCTGAGTCTCAAGAGGTGCTGAGAAGTAGTAGTACTCTGTACAGGGTAGCTGGGACCCTGGACCCGGTTTCCAGGAGTTTTTCACATCGGGCGTTGGCCCCCAACAGGTGACTTCCGGGTTTAATTGTGAGGTCCCCCGGCCTCATCCTATTCTCTGTTGTTCTTCATAGAAATACAAAAGCTTGAATTGTTAAAAAAAAAAAAAAAAAGAAGAGAGAGTTGCCTCCCGCCTGTTGCAGGACTACTCCAGTTTCGTGGGTCCTCTCAGCAGTCTGAACGCATCGCTGCACGGGACACGAAACGGAAAACGAAACGAGTGCATCTTCCTGCATAAAATGGCCAGGTTCATCGATTTGCTATAAATAGTAACCAGTGCATTTTGCCACCTTTCATCGGCAGATGCACTACTCTCGTTTTCGTTTCGTGTGTGCCGTGCGGCGAGACCCTCAGCAAGTCACAAATGCCCCCCATTTCTCGCGACTCTCCCATGTACTATGTCCATCTCCATCCCTTCTGTGATTTGTCCTCGTGCGGTTGTTGGGGTCCGCAGACTCTATTCATCAGGGCAACTCGCGTGGTCCGTGTGGCAAGGACTCTAAAAACGAAGAAAAAACGAAGTGAGATCGCACAGCCCCCACGCTCAAGTCTCGGCCCCCTTTTTTTCTGGAGAAATAGAAAAAAAGGGCCCCATGATTTTTTGGGGGGAAAAAAACATTGGCCCTCTGTTTTCCTTCTTTCGGTGTTATCAAATTCTCTCTCTCTCTCTCTCTCTCTCTCTCTCTCTCTCTCTCTCTCTCTCTCTCTCTCTCTCTCTCTCTCTCTCTCTCT